CCACACCACACACCATGCCATACACCCCACCACACACCACACACCACGCCACACCACACACCATGCCATACACCCCACCACACACCACACCCCACCACACACCACACACCATACACCACACGCCACACACCACACCACACCACACCACACCACACCACACCACACCACACCACACCACACGCCACACACACCACACCACACCACACCACACCACACCATACACCACACCGCACCACACCACACCACACCACACCACACCACACCACACACCACACCACACCACACCACACCACACCACACCACACCACACCACACCACACCACACCACACCACACCACACCACACACCACACCACACCACACCACACCACACCACACACACCAAACCACACACCACACACCACAACACCACACAACATAACACAACACAACACAACACAACACATTGAACCCCATTTCAGTGAATTATTACACCCCCATTCATCCATGACAATAATTTCATGAGTATTTGTTGAACTCTACAAACATGATAAATGCTCTTCCAGAAGAACTAACTGCACACCATGTACCAGGAAGGCCCTTTCATAATGTTCCAATTCCATCTCCTTCCAACACACTTGTATGCACTCCCTTTGTTGTAGACACACCTATTTTCTGCAATAATAATGTCAAATCACTGGATAATGTTTACTCTATGAGTACTTATGAAAGGCAATTCGTCTATGAAGTCTTTTCGACCCTGCAGACAAACATAAAAGGTTTTTCAGCTCAGCTTCACAATCACTGAAATAGAATTTCAAAGCTAATGAAAGAAGACTCTAAACATTATAGTCTCCATTTTTCTTCTCAAGCAGGCAAATATTTGCCAGGCTTTTTTAAACACATTGTAACGAACATGTGTGCGTTTAATTTCTTTCATTAAAACAATCCCCGGTAAAACAATCTCCATTTTTGTTCTAAATTTGTTCAGAAACAGTGTCAACTTATGAAAAATCGACCAGCTTTGTTCTCTCCCCTGTTCACTTTGCTCCCAATTTAGTGGATTTGGCTGTTAATTTACCCTTCTTCCTTCTCCGGCAAATATTGACACTGGTCCCTGACTAAACAGGAATTACCAAGGTGACACCCTTTTGTTTGTGCAAGATAGGGCAATCAATGGTGTGACAAGATAGGCGGAAGAGAGTCATTGGAATATGGCCACTTCAGGGTCTTGGAGAGGTTGGAATCTTGACTTTAGCACGTAGCCTTGGATGTATCTTCATAGTCTGTGATTCTTCAAATAGTTGTTGCTGAGTGGACTGCGTACAAAATGTAAAATGTCATCCCAAGGAGTTATCGTTGTGATTGGTAGATGTTTGAAATGGAACCTGTGCTGTGGGTACTTGGGATTCCGTTTCCATCCTAGTTAGCCGCATCCGCTGCAGCCCCATCCTGTGGTGCTGTCACAGCTGACAACTTGTCATCCTATTAGAGACTTAGGGACCGACCGTTGGATAATTGGAGAGGGTGCGCCTGGGTAATTTTGTTGGAAGACTAGATTTGTTTCAGCTACAGTGGCAAAAGCGTATATTTTTAAATTATACTGAGCCTAAATAAAGTACACGACCCCCCCAACCACTGAAAATCAGATGGTATGTCCCTTACTAGCTACTGCGGGCCTTGTGCACTATCAATACATTGTGGTATTAAAAATCAAACCTGTTACCGTATTCGACGTAAAAAGCGCCCAGGGTGCTCTCAAAATTGGAGGCTCTTATTAGAATATTATTTTGGAAGAGTTGAAAGATGAATTTCGTGGTTTATGCTGACAGCCTGGAATGTTTATGTACGACAGATATATTTTTCCAGAATTTAATTGCCCCTGATTAAGGGTGCATATAACACACGAGTGCGTATTATACACGAAAAAATAAGTCTTGTGTACATTGATCAATCGGAAGGGGTGCTAATTGGGATTGTTCATTAGCCAATATATTTGCAAATATCGCCGTGGGCACTTATTAGAGCAGGGCACTTATTACGTCGAATACGGTATATATATTAGTATTACAATGTGTTAAAATTTAAAAACAAAATGTTTTTTTGTTTTTTAACTTTATCATTTTTAAAGGGCTTTTAGCAGGTCTTACAATTCAAATGTAAAACCGCTCAGCAGTGCTCACTTGAAAGTAGTACCTCTCATTAGCTTACTGTGAGATGGCAAGATACCTACAATACAATGGGCAAAAGGGGAGCAGTAACTCTTTGGTGAAACCCATAGGTTGGTTGGTTGGTTTGTTGTTTACGCCACACTCAGCAATATTCCAGCTATATGACGGCAGTCTGTAAATAATCTAGTCTGGACCAGACAATCCAGTGATTGACATCATGAGCATCGATCCACGCAATTGGGACCGATGACATGCATCAACCAAGTGAGCGAGCCTGACCACCCGATCCCGTTAGTCGCCTTTTACGACAAGCATAGTCACCTTTTACTGCAAGCATGGGTTGCTGAAGACCTATTCTACCCTGGATCTTCACGGGTCGAAACCCATAGGTATAGGAGTGGTGCTGACAGCCTAGTGATTACTATCAGGGCAAATCTGGAACTTTATGCAACATAATTCTTAGAGATAACTTTATTTTATTTAAAAAATCATTGCCCTTGGAAATAGTTTCAATTGTATACTGAACAACAAAAGTTCCTGTGAATAAGATTTACCGTATATCGCTGTGTATAAAGCGACCCCACGTATAAGACGACCCCCCTGTACACGCCTTCAAAATGAATCCAAAATCCTATACTCCGTGTATAAAGCGACCTGGAATGAAGCACATCACAAGTGCGCACACATACCTTATATATGCAATAAAAATATGTTTATCTTGCGTTGTTTTTATTACGATGATTGGTCGTGTGTGTCACTCCAGCACATGTTGCCATTTTTTGTTTACACCGTACGACACCAAATTGGTGCCCGTAAAATAAAATCCTTTTTATGAAGTAATAACATTTAAGAGACTATGGTGAGTAATTTAATCGCCAACTATGTTGTAACTAACTAGGCTTATGTTTGCTTCACATTCAGCGTGTTTATTCCGTCTCCAACAGTTGTTAATACAACTGTAAAAACAGCAGGAATTGATTTCAGCTTCAACGGTTATCACATGCTAGGTCACATGTGCAATATGCAAATGTTTAGCGGTACTTCCGGCTCTCTACTCATGGATGTTGATTGTTTTACCGTGTCAGCTGGTTTGACAATCTGCATCGAGGCGAGGGTCATTTCAACTTTATTTGCAGAAATTATTAAACTTTATTCGAGGAAAACAGATACAAATCATGTTTATGTATGGAAATAGTTACTGGAACAGTTATTTAGGACGAAATGCGAAGTTTTATCATCAAATGCTGGGATGGCTATTGAACGCCGGTTGACATTGCCAGTTGAAGCTGAAAGTGAAACAACTGGAAAAAATGTGAGATCTTCGACTCTGTGTATAAGACGAACCCCCTTCTTAACCCCCTCATTTTAGGTATGAAAACTCGCCTTATACACAGCGATATACGGTAATGCAAAGTTATGTTTTTTACCAAATCTGAAACAATTTCGGTTTGCAACAGATAAAAGACTCCTGTAAGTGTTCAAATGGTTTAATTTGCCATACTGACTTCAGAAAATGTGTGATTTCATAAAAAACATGAACATGCCAAAATGTCAATTTACAAATCAATAGCGTGTGTGTCCACCTCTGGTTGCGATGCAAGCAACACATCTTCGTCTCATGGAATGGACATGGCGTCGCACAAAGTCCTGTTGGATATCTGTCCATATCTGCTGGGGCATGTTTCGAAGTTCCTGGAGTGTCTGTGGAACACGTGGTTGATGTCGAAGGCGCCGATCCATCTCATCCCACATGTGCTCGATTTGTGAGAGATCAGGGGAGCGAGCTGGCCAAGGGATGACATTCACGTTGTTTTGTTGAAGAGAATCCTGAACAAGTTGAGCAATATGAGTCTGGGCGTTGTCATGATGAAAGGTAATGCCTGGGCCATGACGACGCAAAAACGGTAGAACAACAGGGCTGATGATCTTGTCGCGGTAGCGCTGTCCATTGTGATTTCCCTCTACCACTATCAAACAGGTCCTCTGTCTTGCTGTAATCCCACCCCATACCATAACACTGCCACCCCTGAACCAATCTTCTTCCATGACACAATGATTGACGTAACGTTCACCTGGACGTCAGTACACTTGAATCCGTCCATCGCTGTGGCTGAGGTGAAAATGAGACTCGTCAGTGAATAGAACTTGTCCCCACTGCATGGCAGTCCAGCGTAGACGCTGTCTGCACCACTGTAGACGTGCTTGACGGATGTTTCCTGTCAAAATGGGACGTCTGGCGGGTCTTTTGCCAACAATCCCTGCACATCTGAGGTGACGACGTACGGTTTGTGAAGATATTTGTTGAAGGCCAGGGATGCTGGACATTTTCGGACAGGCTAGGCATTTCGTGATGTTGAAAAATTGCGTAATTTTGTTGTTTTTCTGAGCGGTTGTTGTCAGCACGATGCTAAACAAGGCATATGGAATCCTGTTTACGCACATGTTTTTGTACCCATTGTTGGGTAGTGAAATGCATGGGGCTTGCATAAAAGTCAACTTTTGCATGGAATGCATGCTTTTCTGTAGCAGTTGCGTTTTTGTGACTTGATTCCTTACATGTACTACAATATTGAAAAGTAAACTCTACTTGTTTGAAAAATACACTAAAATATTGGTATCACAGGAACTTTTGTTGTTGAGTATACATCAATATACGTACCCTTGGCAAGCCTCAGCGTTTGAAACTTTTAGTTACAATTGTATTTTTATCATGGAAAATACATTATTATATGTACCCTTGGCAAGCCTCTGTGTTTTAAACTTTTATTCTCCTAGGGAGACATTGCTTGATCTCACAAAGCCAGTTTTGGATGATAGATTCCAGAATTCTCATGTCCATTACTTGTTTCAGACTTCACCCCATCTCATGGCATTAGCTGTCAATTCTCGTGACCTTGACTTTTGATCCAGCGACCTTGATGTGACAGGTGAGTCGTACCTTATAGAAACAAGAAAAAAATAACTTGGTTATGAAAACCTTTTTCTTCTTCAGTTATTTTGGACATGAACCTTATTCAAATTCTAAGCATGGCATGTACAGACCTACTTTGAATAAACTTAATTATTGTTGACATTAAAGGATATAAAGAAAAGGGGGCATTTAAGCCAATGTTTTAGATTTTAAATCAGGTTTCATTTTGATTGCACTTTGATGATGCAATTACTTTTAAAACATTTAACCTGTCCATTCAGCATCAGGAGGAATTTGGGACATGTAGAAACTCGGAACTTGACGTAATCACGTTCAAGCCTGATTAGTCTTGTACAGATCACTTCAGCTGTGATCAGCTCATGGAATGGAACATCTGCTTTTGAAGCATGTCAGTTTCAACTGTAATTACAGATTCTCTGTTAAACACTCGTCAATTTCTGTGTTGATTTCAATGTCAGGTAATTGGTAGATGGAAAGTCAACCAAGCACTCGTTTGGATAACATGTAGGGCCATTCATCACTCGCCTTCAAACTGCTGCAGAGTTTTTTAGCCCAAGCTCATTAGCTACTGCACATGCTTGTTCTATGGACCAAGAGGTGATATCTTCTCCCCTCTTGTGAGTTCAACGGGGAATGTGAACTGTCATAAAGTATTAACCCACGAGTAATTTATTGCACTTCTTAAAATCAATTCAAAGGCAACTGTTACGTGAATAAAGTAATTTTGAAAACGGAGGTCATTCCTGAATGGATTCATCATTATCTTTCAATTTCTTTCCACACTTTGGGTATTGATTATTCTTTGCTTATAAAGCAATTTAAATTTTATTTTAAAAGTGTGACCTTGTGTTTTTGGAGTGTTCTGAGTATTTAGTGGAACATCAATACGGGACATCTGTGGCAGAAGAAATTATTTTCAATTTTGATATCACGTCATTAAGGGCAGTGTTCATCAGTTTGGTGCCAGATTTCTGTATTTTGTGTCTGTTGCTAAAGAGAGTCGTTCATCCATGAATTTATTGACCAACTGACCGGTCACAATGTCAATGCAGACCAAGGAGGCAATGCTTTTGGAAATTTGCTGATCTTTTTAGAAATCTCTCTCGTAACTTGTGGACCCGTGAAGATCCGGGGTAGAATAGATCTTCAGCAACCCATACTTGCCGTAAAAGGCGACTATGCTTTTCGTAAAAGTCGACTAACAGGATCGGGTGGTCAGGCTCGCTGAGTTGGTTGATGCATGTCATCGATCCCATTTGCGTGGATTGATGCTCATGATGTCAATCACTGGATTGTCTGGTCCAGACTCGATTATTTACAGACCGCCGTCATATAGCTGGAATATTGCTGAGTGCGGCGGAAAACAACAAACAGACCAACGTAACTTGTGCTTGTCAGTCGGATGGTCAGGCGCTGTAACTTTGTAAATTGCTTGTGAGCTCGGGCTGGGACGGGTAACTTGGTTACTCGGGTCGGGTGGGTTCTGAGTAGAACCCAGGTGCCCACAGGACTACCCGGACTTGTGGCTAGCTACGTGATATATTGTTTAATGGCAAAAACTATCTAGAACTCTATGGATACACTAGAAGTGACTCATGTTTGCATTTCTGTCTGACTATGCACGCATTCTTTCTGACTTTACTCAGTATATGTCTGAATTAAGATAAAACTTCAGTCAACTTCAGTGTATGCATGACCAGATCAGACATTTTGTACCTTTCTCTTGAGACCTACAGCGGGTACCCGGGTAGGGTCTGGTGATAGAGGGGAGGGCACCTGGGTAGGGTCGGGTAATAGGGGGGTGGGTACCATAGGAGAGTCGGGTAATAGGGGGTGGGTACCCGGGTAGGGTCAGGTAATAGGGGGTAGGGTACCTGGGTATTGTCGGGTAATATGGGGGTGGGTACCTGGATAGGGTCGGGTAATAGGGGGATGGGTACCCGGGTAGCGTCAGGTAATAGGGGGTAGGATACCCGGGTATTGTCGGGTAATAGGGGGGGGGGTACCCTGACCATGTTGGGCATTGCTCATAATATCAACCCTTGATTTGTCTCAGCCACTCAATTATAGACAGACGACCATAATATCCTGTTTGTTCCAAGAAAAGTGTCATTTCTATTCTTTTTTAAAATGAAAATGATCTCCATTGTCTTGTCATAGGTATGCTGTAAGGGTCCCACATATTTGCAAATAGAAAGAACACTGCAGGAGCTTCCTGGAAGTATGGCGCTGCCTTTTATCCCATGGCCATAAATACAAAAAGCAGACAAGTATTCAGTCCTCCTGTCCTGCCTGTTTAATGATATATTTCTAACTCTAGTCACCGCCAGTACGTAAATGCTATTAAAAGATAATGGTTTACCTCATCTATTAATTATCAAGTAAAGAGTAACTGTCTGGGTCCTAACCATTTTCTGCTCTGTATCTATGCTGGCCTTTCAAGCCATGGAGCCTGGATGAAAGCATTTCATGAGCGGGATTTGAAATCATCGAGAAACTCTCTTTGGCAATCATGGTAATAGGGTGATACTTTATAGAACATTGTTTCACTAATCTGCCCACTTTGATAACAATGAAGAGAGAGAAATATACTGAACTGCAAAAGAAACATCACGTCATGAAAATACTTCATGAAAGTTTCCCATTGAAATATCAATGCATTTTTTGGAGGTATCTCCTTTTAGACATTAGCCTGCATCAGAATTTAATGTTAACAGCCAAAAAGTGCCACAAATATGGAGATATGGGTCACCAAGACGCAGCTAATTAAACAACCATGGTACAAAGTCTGGGGTGTTCGGGTAGCCTAGTGGTTAAAGCGTTTGCTCATCACGCCAAAGACCCGGGTTCGATTCCCGACATGGGTACAATGAGTGAAGCCCATTTCTGGTGTCCCCCGCCTTGATATTGCTGTAATATTGCTAAAAAAAGCGTAAAACCATACTCACTCACTCACTGGTACAAAGTCTTGAATGCTTTCCATGAAAATCACTTGCATTTCCTTGTGCCTTTTCGATAAATGGTACCCTAATATGTGTATCCAACATTCTTGTTTCGATACTAGCGCCATGCTTTGACTTGCAAAGAATCAGAAAAAAACAGGCTTTTGGAAGACTGCATGAAGTGATGTTTCTTTTGCAGTTCAGTATGTATATTTCAAAACTTTAAAACTTTTTCAGTATGCGATTTTGTGTTTTTTATCTCCACTGCACCAAGTGCAGACTGCAGTTATCAACTGACTGCACAACAGATAAATTGGCTGCACCACATACTTAACTGGAAAATTAAACGTGTATATAGTGCAGATTGGCTCTCTGTAGAGTACATAACAGCATGTAAACATGAACATTGAGCAATATAAAAGAAATTACTTATATTTCAATTTGTTTAGATCTTGTATTACTTGAAGCGAGTGATATTTATAAGCTTGTTGGTGGAATATTTTACCGTCCGCACTCAGTGCAGTCTGTTTATCAATTGAATCTGCACAAGACGATATTGACCTGTACCAGTACAGTTGTGTCGATGGGAAATCAGCTCACTTCAAACTTCAATTTTTTGGCCATGCCGTAAGTACAACAAGGCAGTTTCACAAACACTGCACACATGACAATATCCCTTGGAGTGAGTGAGTGAGTGAGTGATTGGGTGAGTGAGTGAGTGAGTTGGGTTTAACGCTGCTTATAACAGCATTCCAGTTATATCACGGCGTGTCAGCTTAATGTGGGAGGAAAGCACGAAGTGATGCAGGTCTCAGACGTTTACCGCTTCGGTGAAACCCACGAGCACGGGTATGGTGCTGACAAAAATAGGAACATAATCTGGGCGAACCGGGATTCGAATCCACAATCAAAGGTTTCTGGCGTGCCCAAGGGACGCAACTCTGCACAGCCAATTGCGGCGCCTTAGACGACTCACCAGGGCCACCCATGCCCCCATATCCCTTGGAGGGATTTTATTTTTGGCACCAACGAGTCAGGGTTTTTCACATTCATAAACCAAGATCAAGATCAAGGTCTGTCTTTGCTTGAGCTCTAAGTATTCTGAAAATGATGTCAAAAAATGTTTCCTCATTTTATTTCCTCAATTCATTATGCCTAACTAGGTTTGTAATAGCCTATACAGGCTAAGGCACATGATTGTGGAACTCACTTCGCTTGTAAATATAAAACGTCAATGCCAGAAAATTATCTCGATTATCTGCCCAAACAAATTCCACTGGGCATAAAAGGCAAGATATTGGTGTAAATTATGTGAATGGAGTGCTGAAAGTCAATGATAGCACCAGGTGTTTGTGTAAACTCATAGTGCAGGTTAGCAAGTACAGTGAAATCCCTTACCACTGAGATACACAGCAGTGTTTTATCAACATTAGCATTTAGGCAACCAAGTGTTCCAGCAAGGCTTGTGTTTTCAATTGCATGACGATCAAAATGATTCATGTAACAATTACGTTGAAGCAGCGATTTCTCAGGCCACTAAATATTCACTCAACCAATACCAGCTGTCAGGAAAACATAATCCCCTTGATAGTATCCCAGCTTACAGGGCCGCCTCTTGTTTTTTCAAAATGGAACCATTTTTGGTAAATTGAAACTTTTTTGCTTTGATTTATGGCATACAAAATAAGAGTATCGGTTTGCTATTTGTTCTGTGTCACTGATCGTGTTTGAAATAGTAACCCCTTCACACTGGTGCCATTAAATTTAATGAATTTCAGTTTTGTTCTCGTCTGGTTTATTGTTGTATAGATGAGACATTTGATTAGCACAGTTCTCCTCTTTTTAACATTTTACTGCAGTGTTTGATGGAATTGATGAAGTAGAATCTACACACATTATTGTAGAGAGGCTGAAGAGCTCCTTGATGTCCATGATCTTTCTCTAGGGCGATTAAACTGAGCTTAGTCAGTTCCATATCATTGACAATATAATGCTACACTTTCGTTTCAGCCCCGCCACAGGCCACGAAACTTCAATGTATTTATTTAAAGGA